TTAATTAATTGTGTACTTTTATTTAGTGCTTACAAATTTTGGAAAAATTCAAATGATAAATCGGCACGTGATTTATTTTTTGCAAGTCTTGTACATTTACCTGTAATTCTTGCTTTAATGATGGCTCATAAAAAGGATCAAGGAATCATAATAAACAATGAGATTTTAGATGTTAATGAAAAAGAATTGGAAAAGGTTATGCTAGAGTTAGAGTCATAGGATTTTTATTTAGGGTAAAAAAAAAAAAAATATTGAGTATAGTTAATGTACGTATTAGCTAATGTAGTATAGAATTCAGGGCATTAAATCAAAATCCTCCATTGAATGTAAAATGGGTTAATATATGCTATATAATTATTTACTGTATTGAATTATTACGTATAAATTTTTGTAAATTTTTGTAATTTCATTGTGAATTCGATGCTTTTATGTTTATCCAATGTTAGTGAGTTCTTTTATTTTATTCAGGATATTCATTACAAGGAACTAAATTTATACTAGCACTAAGGAGTTATCATCAAAAGTATATTCCTGTATCAAGCCTAGGATTGCTTTATTCTTCAAGCTAAACTTCTAAGAGTTTGGTATAAACGTACGATTACCATTATCGTTATTAAGTAAAAGATTGGCGCTGCCTTGTGCTAATTGCCAATCACGAGGAATTGCGTATAACCGCATACGTTATTAAACAATTGTATAAGAAAAGTAGATATAGAATTACTATATATGGTTAAAACCTATAACGAAAATGTAGTGATTTTCAAATGCAAAACGACTATGCATGTTGTACAATTTGAACTGAAAAAATTTTTTATTCAATATAGAATTATAATCAACCAATCAAATTTTCTTTACATAGAAGGGAGGAATTAGGGAGTATTATAAAAAAATATTAGAATCTACTAAAGCTGTAAAAAAAAAACCTTTTCTTTAGATAGACTTATATATAAAAAAATAAATAAATAAATAAATAAAATAAAAATATATTTATATATATATATAATATATATATGTTTATATTATATATATATATATATGTTAATAGTAAATACCAATTATTTATCAATTGAATCTATTTTTTTTCAATATTTCCAGATAAATAATAATAAGATTTATACTTGTTAATAGCCCAATCAGCAGTTCTACTATCCAAACCTTTTTCATAAGCATCTATATATCTCCAAGATTTATAAGCAAATTTACAGATTGTTGATATAGAAATATTAACAAGAGCTTGCCCATCACGTCTGTTCTAGGTCTAGTACAACTCAATTTTATGTTCGCCCTTAATTTCATACAACATATTCACGTTCCCGGGTTTGCGCAACTACTTATGCAAATTTATATGATTTAGTTGGATAGCAGTTATAATAGATAGGTTCTAATAATATCATGTAATTTGCACTGCTGCCCATAAATTTCTGGCTTAAAAGTAGGGACACAAAAATTTTCAAAAGTAATTATTTAAACAAATAATTCTTTAGCAATATCGAAATTTTTTGAAACATTAGACAATTTGGTTAAAAATTTAGCTGAATCGAATTGATTCAATTTAATTTTATCCTAATGGACATAATATTTTAGAATTATCTATGTTAGCAGATTTTTTATAATAAATAAATCTCATGTTTATATTTGTTATATTAGCAGATTTTTAATAATAAACAAATTTCTTATTTTTTTTAATTTTAATTCTATAATATTTATATCCTACAGATTTTATAATAAACTAATGTCTTATAGTATAATCACAAATATTTATTGAAGATTTATTTATTCAAAGTTTTCCAATTTACATTATTACTGTTGCAAAACACTATTTAGCTTTAATAATATTAATAAAATAATAAGGATATAAACACAGAATTTATAGACTTTTGGCATTTTCGCAGTAGTTTTATAATTATTTTTGTTGTAGAGCGAAATAGCTTCTTTTGCACCTTCCCAAGAATTCCTTCCTAATAGCCGATACTATTAAAACATTAAATATATTTAGCACTCGAATTAAATACTTAACATCTTTTGTTAGTGTAATGGAAAATTAAGTACTTGAATAGGAGTAGGCACGCCGAACATAATTATTTTCCAAAATATAAAGCCAAATCTTTTAATTATCTCATAAGAATGAGGATAGCATCCAATCTCTTTACTCAAAGTATCCATATAAGATAAATAGTTTAACCGAATAGCACTACGAGCAGATCCACAAAAATTTTTATGTATATTTTCATAAAAATTGCGTATAGATTTTTCCATTTCATATTGAGATGGGAGTGGCTTGATAAATCCTTTAACAAGACTTGTTATATAACGTGCTTGCATCTCACTTTTTTAAAAAGAAATTTGATATAAATAACAGTACAAATAAAATTAATTCTTAAATTCTTGATCTCACCTGATCGGCAAGATAGCACCAGCTCCTAATGCCAATCCAAGGAAAGCAATATTTGGATATTTTGGAGAAAACATCGATTTGTATAACCAAACTATATGTTGAAAATCTTTTCCAAACTCTTGTTCAACTTCATCCCCACCAGTAAAAATACAAAAATGAATAATCAATATAAAAACCTATAGCATAAATAACAACATCAATATTCTCCAAGACAGTCCCATCAACAAATTCAATTTGATTATTTTCAGATTTAAATTCTTTAATATTCGGTTTCACAATAATTGTACCAACTGCAAGGCATTGAAAAATTTCAAAGTTTATAGTAGGAAGTGAAGCAATAAAAGAATCAGTAGGCATTAGAGGAGGAGGTGACGGAAAAGATTTAATAAAATTTTCTACTATTTTTCCTCTAATAAAAGGTGGAATAATATATGCGGAGAAACGAGATGGGAGATGGTCATACGCTATATCATTTACGAAACGTGGTAATATCCATGGAAGTTTTTCTATAAAAATATATATAAAAAAAAAAAATTATAATTGTAAGATCTATAAAATTTACCTCTGCGAATGCTTAAATAAACTTGTGACGCAGTATGAGTTAACTCAACCGCGATGTCCATTGCACTAAATTAATTAGTGAATAAGGTTTTTTTATGAATCATACTATTACATAATTTACATTATATTCATACCTATTGTGAGGTCGGGAAAACGTGACCTAAAAGACGCCGCGCCAACTCACGTTAACCTGATTATGACGATCTCTTACC